AGTGTTGGATGTGTTTACTTGATAGTATATGTTGATGACATCGTTCTTACAGGTAGTGACAACCATGACATCTCTTAGTTGAAACAACATCTCTGTCACCATTTTCAGACTAAAGATCTTGACAAACTTAGATATTTCTTGGGTATTGAGGTGACACACTCTAATGATGGTATTGTTATATCTCAGAGGAAGTATGCCATAAATATTTTGGAGGAAACTGGGTTGATGAGTTTAAAGTATGTTGATACACCCATGGATCCCAATATTAAACTTCTACCAAATCAGGAGGAGCCTATATCTGATGTTGAGCAGTATAGAAGATTGGTTGAAAAATTGAATTATCTTACAGTTACTCATCCTAACATTTCCTTTGCAGTCAGTGTGGTAAGTCAATTTCTTAATTCACCATGTGAAGATCATTGGAATGCAGTCATTCGTATCTTGAAGTATATTAAAGGATCTCTTGGAAAAGGATTGTTATATGGTTCTAATAACCATACAAGAGTTGTTTGCCACTCAGATGCTGATTAGGCAGGATCTCCTTTGGATAGAAGATCTACATCTGGATATTGTGTCTCCATTGGTGGTAACTTGATCTCATGGAAAATTAAGAAACAAAGTGTTGTGGAAAGATCCAGTGTAGAAGCAGAATATAAAGTTATGACCTCAGCTGCTTGTGAACTTGTTTGTCTCAAGCAATTGCTTAGAGAGTTATAATTTAGAGATGTCACTCAAATGACACTTGTGTGTGATAATCAGGTTGCTCTTCATATTAGTTATAATTCTGTCTTTCATGAGAGGACCAAACACATTGAGATTGATTGTCATTTTATTCAAGAAAAGATTATGTTTGGAGATATCAAGACTGAGTTTGTTAACTCAAGTGATCAGTTAGCAGATATTTTCACTAAGTCTTTACGGGGGCCTAGAATTGATTATATTTGTATCAAGCTTGACACATACGATTTGTATGCTCCAGCTTGAGGGGGAGTGTTAGATATTATTTGGATATTGTTTAGATATAGTTTGATATTGTTAAGATATTGTTAACCATAATATCAAACAATATCTTCTGTTTATTCTGTTTACTTTTGGTTACTCTTTTAGTTGTACCTCTCTATTATAAATAGATTACCCTATGTGTGATTTATACACAAGGGAGATTAATTTCAAACCTTATTTCCTCTATATTCAACAATAATAAATTCATATTTTATCTTAATGAACCACATCTATAAAAATAAATAATAAAAACAAACAAATGATTTTCAAAGAGAAACGCTACCTTTTAATGAATATATGACTGAAACTCTATCCTTATAAAAAATATATATAGCATAAGAATTCACCTTTCTGTCATCCAAAAAAATTGCATTAGTATACCCTACAAGAACTATAAAAAAAAAACATTGGATAGAGATGAAGAAAACATAGCACAAGTGATTATCCAAGTCGATAGAAGTCAATAGAAAATCATTATTTCTACCACTACAAGGATTATCAAAATAGATACAAGTTTTGGTTGGGAAACCACAGAAACTATCAAGAGAGAATAACCTGAACTAATTCTTATGTGACATGTGGCAGTCTAAACTGAAATACATATATAAAATAAACTGATTCACACTAATTAATAAAATTAGTAAACAAGTAATCCCTAAATCCTAAACCACAAATCAATAGGAAGAAAAACATTACCTCTATTCAATTTAAGTTAACTGTTGTGGTAATCGGAACAAATTTGGAGCAAGATATCCAGCATTTTCTAGTTAAGAGAAGCGAAAATGGAGATGCATCATTGCATATTCTAGAGCTTCCGGCTAAGTATACAGAGTTTGGTTTACCATTTGTTCCACCATTACCTCTATTCTATTACGATCTTTCTTTTTTCCTTTGTTTCCTTGTCTCATCTATCCTTCTCTGCCTTTGAGTGTTTGATGAACCCTACGTGAATTGGAAATAGAGCAAAAACAGGAAAAATAAAATAGAGCAAAAACAGGAAAAATGAAACAGAATGAAGAAAGAACCATGGTGGGATTGGTATGAAAGACTTGCAAGTTTCAATAAACAATAAGAAATGAAAGATCCATGAAGTAATTGTGAGAAAATATAAATGTTTTGGAGATTGGTATTAATAATTTTAAAAGATAATAATTTTAGTTTAAATTAAATTTGATATATTGTTACTAATTTAAATAATAAATATTAATTATTTCATTTATTAATATTCTATTTACTAATAATTATTTTATTTATTAATATATATATATATATATATATATAGGGTAGGGTGGGGTGGGGTGGGGTAGGGGTAGGGGTAGGGGTAGGGGTGGATTTTGTCTTCTCCGTTTCTGTCTCAACTTTTTTAACCATCCCCACCCATGATCTAAGTCAATGTTAGATTAAGTCTCCATCCCTCTGTTGGATTTCAGGTTTTCCTTATATATATTATTTTTAAAAAAATAATTATATTTATAATAAATTAATTTTACTATTTTTATATATTTTTTATATAAATAAATATTTATTAATTTATAATTACTATTAATTAAATATTTTTTTAATTTATTATATTTATATTAAATATATATGTTGAAGAAATATTTAATTATTTTTTCTTTATATAGATGTAAAATATGTCTAATAATAATAATAATATTATTATTATTATTATTATAATATTATATTCAAACATTTAATATTTATAATATTATTATTATTATTATAATATTGTATTTAAATATTTATTTATATATATATAAGTTAGTTGTTTTTAAGTTGTTATTTAAAAATATGAAATATATAATTTATAAGAAAATATTTAATAAGTTAGTTCTTATTTAATTAGTTCAAAGTAATAAAAATTTAAATTATTAATTTTTTTAATCATTTAAAATATAATTATTTTAGTAAGATAAAATTTGATATATATAGTAAATAAAAATAATAAGATAAAAAAATATGATATAATAAAACCTAATAAAGATAAATTATAAATAAAATAATATTAGTTACTGCTAATATTTATGTAAAATATTTAGGAAAAAGATAAAAAATAAGAAAAATTAATTTTGTGTTTATTAAATTGGTTAAAAAGATTAAAAAAATTAATTGGAGAGATTAAAAAAATGTGAAAAAAGAAAAAGTAAGAGAAAGAGAAAAAGAAAGAGAGTAACGTATAATGAATTAATTGATATAAAAGATTAAAAAGGACAAAAGAATTAAAAGTGGGTAGAAAAAAATAATAACGATAAAATATAAAAAAATGATCTTATATATAAAGAAAAAGAAAAAAAAACTTTTAAAATATTAATATTTTAAAATTTAAATTTAAATATAAAATCGAAAAAGCAAGATGAAGATTGCATTATTTATCCCAACCTCATCCTATCAACTTAATTTTTTTCAATCAAATATGAGAAGAGATGGATCCATCTCCTCGTATATGTGTTTAATTACCATTCATATATACTCACACGAAAATTAAATCTAGGTCCATAAAAATAAAAGATAATTCAAATTAAAAATAAAAACTTAAATCATGGTTGCTAATACGATTTTTCTTATGTAATCGTTCAAATACGACGTATCTTTAAAAAATTAATTAAATCAGTAATTTCGTTTTAAAATTCTACTATTTTTATGTTTTTCCATGACGGGAAACCACCTTTAAGATAAAAATATTTTAAATAATTTATTTTTCTTATTTAAAACGTTATTCAATTTAACACAAGCGATACACTGAAGGATATTTTTAGTAAAAACTAAGTATTTTATTGATTTTTATTTATTAATAAATAATAATTTATATATTAATTTAAAAATGTTTGATATGTGAGTTACGCTTAATAAGTAATGAACCTGCATAATAATAAAGAGTGGAAATTGTCTCTTCTTACAACAAATTTGACAGTGAAATAGATAGCTAATATATTAAAATGATCTTAAAATTTTAACAATAAACAATTACAAAAGTTTGCAGAGTTAAATTAGTTACAAATAAATAATTAAAAATATATTTATTTTAAAAAAATTCCACTGTCTTCTTAAAATATTAAAATTGAAAATATCATTTTTTAAAACTGAAAATATTTGGTGTTAAAAATCGAAAGATTGGTTTTGTTTAGAGTTAACAAATCGGAATATGACTTAATGTTACGAGTTAAATAAAAAATAGGTTACAATTTTTAGTTTAGAATGTAATTATATTAGGTTAACGGATTAATTAAAAGTAAGAAAAAAATATGTTTATATAAATTAATTAATAAAATAAATATTTATATAAAAATAAAAACTATATTTTTAAATTTAATTTATATTAATAAAAATAATTTTTATTTAAAATATAATAATTTAATATACAAATTATGAAAAATTGATATATTTATTTCTAAAATAAGAATTAAAAATAAATTTTATTATTATTTATTTGATAATAATTGATTAATCTAAAAGAATAATTTATTAATAATTAAACCTATTAGGAACACTATTTTGTTGATTCAGTCAACTATATTGCCAAATAACTGTAAGAATAATTTTCAGTAAATAATTTTAAATTCCCTTAAAAATATTTCATCAATGGTATATATTTTTGTAAATCATATAAAAAAAATTATATACAGAACTCAACAAAAGCGGTGTAGACATTGAAATCCAACTTCATATGTTCCATACGTTCACACACGCAATCTGTTTAATGCAGCAATTAAGAAGCATACGTTACAATGACCAAAAAAACAAGAAGAAGCAAAAGTTACAACGGTCATTTCCTTCTCCTACAGTAGCTATGTCTGGTAAACTAGGTTATCGTGGCAGCATCCTCTGCTTACACGTGGTACTTTGTGCATTTCAATGTGTCGTTTTGGACTGTCGTTCCAACTTCCAACTGCTGCTGTCTTACTCTCTATATAAGAACTTCCAAACGCCACATCTTCTTCACTTCCAAGCTTCAACAATTCAATCCTATCTATCAATCTAGCTATACACATTCTCATCTCATGAAGAGGAATACAGGCATTTTGCTTTTGTTCCTCCTTGTCTTAGCAGCTGGTAATTAAGATATTCACATAATTTCCATGTTAATTCTAATTAGTATACTGTAATTAATATAGTGAGTGACTAATATTGTTATTATCTTACTAATGATGTGAAAATTTTGAATGATTGAATCAGATGTAGCGGTGAAGAGAGCAGAGGCGAACATTTGCTGGTCTAAAAGCCGGACGTACACGAGTCCATGCTACAGCGACGAAATCTGTGCAAATTACTGCAAGGCCGATGGTTTCGATGGTGGCGACTGCGGCGGCTTCCGTCGCATCTGCTTCTGCAGCAAACCTTGCTGAAATTCATCCATTAATAAATGAATTGCACTAACTGACACCGTATATGGTGTCATTTCAGAGTAAAATATCAAGTGTAACCATTTTTAAATGGGGTTATCATAATTATTAGTTAATGGATTGTTAATCTTGTCTTTCTTTCCCCACTTTTACTTATTGTAAAAAAAATTACTTTGACTTAGGCTTTTAAAAAGAAAAATTAATTTATTGTGTTTCATTAAGTAATTTATACCCAATTTTATTTAAAAATAAAATAAAATTTTTATTTAAATTTAATCATGATACATAATTATTTTCAACTCCCTATTATAAGATATTTCACACAAAATCACGTATATTAAGAGAAATAATTAATTCAACTAATTTTACTAAGTTTTTTTTTTTACAAATATTTTATTTTTATCATTATTGATCATTATTAAAGCCATTAACAGTGCAATAATGTAATCATATCTTTTGAGTATTGAAGAAAAAAATAAAAACTATATTTATTTATATTGTAAAATATCTCATGTGGAGAATTGGTTTCCTTTTTCAAAATTATGTTTTGTAATAAAAAAAATTAGTACTATGAATTAATTGAAATTTTAATATTTAAAAAAACTAACTAAATAAATAGTTGATAATATACAATAATATTTAATTTAAAAATAATTTATTTACTTAGTTAAACTTGTTTTCTCCTTCTCTTATTAAATATTTTTTATTTATAAATAAGAATTATTTGATAATACAATAATTGTACATGTCAATTGCAAATTTTCAGGTAAAAAAATCTTCAAATTGTTCAAAAGCATATCTTATATTATATATGTTTTGAATGATTTAAATTTTGTAATAAAATAAATCTTTACAAAAGTTTGTGAATGATATATGTCATTCAATCTTTTCATATATATATATATATATATATATATATATATATATATATATATATATATATATATATATATATATATATATATACTCTAGTCATAAGTAAGTGTACAACATTTCATTTTTAAAATTTCTTGTTTTGATAAGAAGAAAAAAAAACGGTGCACCTCCAACAAGAGACACTTACATAAGTTATTTATTGTTTTAAAAAATTACAAAATAAAAATATATGATAATAATTTTTAAATAATTTATTATTTATTTTATTCTAAATTTTTAAAAAATTATTTTTTTATTTTTTTTAATTTCTTGATAAAATAATTAAAATAAGTAATTTAGTATAATATTCTTTTAAGATTACATCAGACAAATAATAATTTATTTAAATATCTCAATGAAATTTCTATTAAAAATATTTTAAGTTAATTATTTTAATATTAGAAACTATTTAAAAAAATTATAATAATTTTTATTCAAAATAGTTATTAAAATAAGAAAATATTTAATTATTTTTGTTAATATATAAAAATTAATTTTTACAAAATAAAAATATATTTAAATATTGTAAACGTGTTGGAGTAAAATAAATTCTAAAACTGTATCCAAACACGTAATTAGTTTAATCTAATAACTAAGTTTTAGATTATGCACAGGTGGCACCTTTGCATCTTAACTCCTCTTACCTTTCACTCCAAGATCCAGTTATCTTACAATATAAACAGTAAGAAAGAGCAAGAGCATGTCAATTTCATCGCTTTCTGTGAACATGCCAGAGCTTCAAGAATTCACGACCGATGGAGAGGAAAACGCTAGGGTTTATGCTCCTTCTCGTCCTTGTCTTAGCAGTTGCTGGTAAGTATAAAACTTATGAACTTTGATAATGCAGTGATTGATACAGTGTTTGATTCAAGGGAATGATGTGAAAATGATGAATCGATTGATTAAATAGATGTGGCGGTGACGGAAACGGTGATGAAAAGAGTGAGGAGAGAATGCTGGTCACAAAGCAACGCGTATCAGGGTCCGCTGCTGCTGCAGTAAAACTTGTTGATAATGATTCACAAATTAAGCCCTTTCCATCAATAAATACTACTATGATTTGTATGATTAACTTATTAGTCTTCTTCTTCCTCCTCCACTTTACAATCTCTTATCAATTTTAACTCAAGTTATAAATAAGATTTATTACTAAATGTATTAAATGTATTAATTATAATATTTTTAACAGGCTTTTTCACCTCAAACTTAAAATAAAAACAAAATAAAAAAGTTCAAAAATAATAGGATAGAAAATTATTTAACCTACGATATAATTGTATAATTTTTATTTTATTATTTTTTCTATATATCTCTTATATATAAATTATTTAAAAAATAAAAAAATATAGTTAATAAAAAATAATTAATATCATTTTAAAATTATTAATGATAAATAAGTAAAATATTTTTTTACAAAAAATTCAGAGCTTGAAATTTGATGTTATTAATATTATTATTATTATTTATAATAATATAATTGTATTTACAAAAATATTAAACTAAATTCTTCTTTAAAATCACTTGCTAGCAACATGCCATTTTAATTTCTCGGTAAAGTATTGTATTTTTCATCTTTATCAATTATTATCTTAAATAAAATTCGAGATCAAGAAAATGATAATTAAAAAATATTTTATTTTTGTCTTTATTGATCATTGTTAAATCAATTAACAGTAATATATAATAATAATAGTAATAACTTTTGCATCTAATCATGTCTTTTAAGTATTAAAAAAAACTATATTTATTGATATTGTAAAATATGTTAATTTTTTTAAATTATGTTTTATAATAAATATTTAAATATTTTTAAAAACTAAATAAAAAATCGTTAATAATACTCAATAACATTTAATTTAAAAATAATTTCCTTACTTGGTTAAAGTTATTTTCTTTTTCTCTTATTAAGTATTTTTATATATAAATAAGAATTGTTTGATAAAGCAATTGAACACATCAATTGAAAATTTACAGGTAAAAAATCTTCAAAATGTTCATAGTTGTTTAAAAGCATGTCCTATATTATATATGTTTTGAGTGACTTAACTTAAAATTGGTAATAAAATAAATCTTTATAGAAGTTTGTGAATGATATGTAACACATGCAATCTTTATATATTTTTGTCTTTAGTCATAAGTTGGTGCACAATATTAATATTTTACATTTAAAAATTATTGTTTTGAAAAAAGTGGAAAAAAGCACGCGGTGGAAGAGGAAAAAGGAGAATATAAATAGAAGAGACAGGAAAAAAAAAAAAAACAAGAAGAACCATCATATATTAATGCATGAAGGAAGAGGAGAAAGTAAGAAGAGATTTTATGGAATTTATACAACTGTGCAACCGTCTGTCGCACCGATGAAGAATATAGAGACATCATTTTCCACTGCTACTGCACAAGTATTCTGCGTATTAATTCATAAATTAATATAATTGTTGTTGGGAATCTAGATTTTAGAAGGGGAAGTTAAGTAATATATAATTAATTAAAATTTTAGATTAAATATGATGTCGATTTTTTGTATGGACTAAATTTATGTTTTATTATATTATTTATTATCCAGAGGGTTATTAATAAATTCGAGCTTAAGAAACATAAACTTAATGACGTAGTCAGTGGATCTTATTGAGAGTTGAGGGTCGTATCCCAAAGTTTTGTAATTCTCATATAATTTATGATTTTAGTCCCTCAAACTTAATGATCATTTAATATATTTACTTGCATATTTATAATTTTATCCTCTCCTCACTTATAACTTTCATATAATTTATCATTTTTTCTCCTTAAATTTAATTATCATTTAGTATATTTATTTATACATTTATAATTTTATCCTCTCACCCTTTCATTTTCTTTTGCTTTTTTATATTTATTTATTATCACTACATCTAGTACCGATCTTAACTATTGATTTTGAGAGGGTTAAATAATATATTAAAACATAAATATTATACAAATAAAAATAAGTTAAATTATAAAAATTTTAAAAATTAAGAAAAATAAAATGTTAAATAATTTATTTATAAATAAAACAATTTATTATTATTTATTTTATTATTATTTTAAGTGTCAATTGAAATCACTGTTAAAAAAACTGGAATAAATATATTTATTAATAAATTTTATAAATAATAAGAGTAATAAGATAATTATCAAGTTGATAATATTGTTGTTGTGTGTTTCAAGAATACATTATAAATTTTTAAAAATTAAATCGGATCGGTTTAAGATTTAAATAATTAGATTTTAATTGGATTAATATAAAATTGATAAAATTAATTAGTTTTTTTAATTTAATCAATTTTATTAATAATATTGATTTTTTTAAAGATAAATTTTATATAAAGAATATACTATTTTAATTTTTTATTATTTATCTCATATAAATCATAATAATTTTAAATAAAAATTATTTTACTATATTTTTATGATTATTAATTTTTTATTGTTTTTATAATTTTATATTTTTATAATATTAATTATTATTTATAATCATTATAATAATTTATTATTAATAATAAATTTATTATTTGTTTATTATATTATTAAATTGGATTATACCTAATTGAAACCTTAAATGCTGTGCTGATTTTTTCGTCTGTTTATTGACGAGTCAAATTTTAAAAATATATGTCAAAATTAAATTAAAAATATGTTTAAATAAACAAATTAATTAACATCCTAAATGACATAAATAGTTTATAAGACAATGTTGCTTAAAAATTTAATATTGGTACTTTAAAAATGACTAATAATGAGAGTTTAATTTTTTTCTCTCACGTATTAATATAAATATTTATTAACATGTCAGATGAAAGATTAAATAAAATATTAACTCCCTTAAGGGACTCACTGAAATTTCTTAATTAAATTTTAAAACAATGTTGAATGATCTATATCAATTAGTTTTTTCTTTTATTGAGAGACATTATAATTTAATTAGATAGAATTTTGTAAATTATACCATTTATATAAGGAAGTACTTGTCAAAATATCATATAAATATTTTTTAATATGATATATATATATATATATATATATATATTACTTAAAATTATAAAAAAAAACTTAAAATTGAGTAAAATAAGTTATTTATTTTAAAATTTGAACAATTAATTGTGTATGGCATTCACTTTTTTTTGTAAAGCTGACTCCACATAAATGAATTATTTAAAATAATATATATATATATATATATATATATATATATACAAAAATTTATTAATTTTAATATTTTTATACACAAATTGTTGTTAAAAATAATTTTTTATTCATAAATAATTATTTTAAATAATTTGTAAATATTTAAGTTATTGATACAGGTGGTGTCAATTTTAAGATACAAATTTTATTTATAAATAATTATTGTAAGTAATTTATTTTTAATTTGCTCTTATTTTTCATACTTTGCACATATATTTTTATTAATAAAAATCATAAACTTGCATTTAAATATTGAATTTTGTAAACAAGATTATTTATTTATGAATAATAAATTTTAATTATTCTTTTATTAATAAATTTTTTATGTATTTTCTATTTTTAAAAATAATTATATATATATATATATATGTATTTTGAGATAGAAAAAGAAATAAAAAAGTATACAATTATTTTATGTTAAATCAAATTTTAATGTTATTTATTATTTTTAATGTTAAATTTATTTTTTTAATGCAAAATAATGATATTTTTTCATTAATTTGATCAAGTTTTAAGAAATAAAATAAATTGTAATCCTCAGATAATACTGTTTATTGATGTGATGTACACATCTTCACTCTAGAAAAAACAACTAATAATAAAAAAGTTGAAGGGTAGGAAAATAAAATAGGTTCAGATCTGATAATAATTTTTATTCTCCAACCTAAAATTTATTATTACATTTGACAAAGTAAATAGATGGTAATGAATATTATTTATTCATTAATGGAATCTAGACACTTTTTCTTGCAGACACAAACAGGGATCAAGCCACGACATTTGCCATCCTCAAAACCTTCTGTCACACAGACGGTTGCACAGTTCTGGCTGCTCAAGCAGACACGCTTGAAAGTACGGCTTTGTGACCAGCAGTCTCTCGCCTCTGTTCTCTTCACCGTCACATCTGTTTAATCCATTCATCAGTTTCTCATATAAACACTATATCAGTAACTACATCAAGTTAATATATAATAGTTGTATATCTTACCAGCGACTATACGAAAAGGACTAAGAGGAACGTAAACACTAATGTTTTCCTCTCCGTTGTTTGCTGAAACCAGAAATTCGTGTTTGTTAAAAGTGATGTACTTTGAGCCTTCCTCTTCTCAACTCTATATAATACGATGGTTAATGAAACTGACAGCGAAATGTTTGAGATAATTTGACATGCAGAAGCCCACGTATGCTTACAGATAAGCTCCTACGACGCGCGGAGAATGAAAACATCGACATGTTTTTAATTATTTATATTAGAACATTTTAAAAATTAACTTTTTAATTAAATTAAATATTTTTATTATAAATATGTGTTACGAATTATTTATATAAATATATTTTTTAATTTTAAATAATTTTATTCAAATTTTAAGTAATTTAAATATAAAATTCATAATAAAATATTTATTTTTAAATAATTTTCATAATAATTTTCTTTAATTATGTTCTTAAAATGGAAAAATAACGATGTGTTTTAATTATGTTAAAATATTTAATTATGTTAAAATATAAAACACATTTTTTAAGATGAGTCTCATTTGTATTCATTATTTAAATTAATATAAAAAAATAATACAATATTTATATCAAAATAGTTTTTTATTCATAAATATTTTGTTTGATAAAATAATAAAATTATTAATATATATTTTATAAAATAATATAATAAAAAATATTTTTTTACAAAATAAGTAAATCAAAATTAGATATTTATTTTATTATAATATTTTCATGTAATTATAAGTTAATATTTTTATTAATCGGATATTTTTTAAATATTACTTTTAATTAATAATTTTTAAAATAAATATATTAATATATAATTATAAAATATATTTTATTATTCAGTTTTTTAAAAATATTTGAGTTAAATTAATAAAATAAAATTATATTAAAAAATATTAAATATTTTATTTAATTTTTATAATCACTTTATATTTACAATATTGTATTAAAATAATAATTAAAAATTAATATATAAATTAAAATTATAAACTTTAAAATAAATAAGATTTTTAATATATATATATATATATGATGAATTTTTACCTTAAATTGAATTGAATTAGATAAAGTGAGTTTTTTTATAAATTAAATTTAGATAATCTATAAAATAATTATTTTAAATATATATATTTTAAAATAATTCTCTCATTTTGAAAGTAACGGTTGAATCTTATTGTATATTATATATTATTAAAACAATAGAAATAAATATTTATAATAAAATATTTTTAATTTTTATTTTCAAATTTATAATTTATATATTAAATTATTTTATTTTTAATAAAAAATTATTAATATAACTTAAATTTTAAATTTATTAGTTTTAATTTTTTATTTAATTTTATATAATATTTTTATATAAATATATTATATTTTTTTATAATCTTTAAGATTAAATATAATTTTTTAATAAATTATTTATATGATATATTTTAAAAATATAAATTAAATTAAAATAAATAATTATTTTGAATTTTTTTTACTGTAAAAAAAAGAGAATTTAATATATCTGATTATATATATATATATATATATATATATATAATTATCAGTGACATCCAATTCTTTAACTAATTTATTCATAGAAAATTCGATAGTCAGAATAATCTATAAAGAATACAAAATTTCACAAATTTTAAAAGAAGATGAAATAAAGCGAAAACTTGGAGAACATGCATATATAAAATATAAAAGAGAGAAATGTGAGTGATCCACTGACTCCGAGGTTGGTGCCATTAAATGCATCTCTTCTTTTGATTGAGAGCTTCTAGAAGAAACAAAACTAAGATAAGAGGGCGAGGCTTACCAACCAAGTTCGTAAAAATTCACATGATCATCTGAGGGTAGTTGGAGGAAGTTTGAAAATGACATTCCTTTGTGAAGTAATCTTCAGTGGCAATATTATGTAATAAACATGATAATTGGATCATGTGATGTGTTGTTGCATGAATTCACACCTTTATTGCCATATCGTACACAATGTTGTTTCCAAGGCCCACCAACAAACAAAAACATAATACACGTTGCCTCAATCGAGTTGTTGATGGAACCACCCACATGTTATATATATATATATATATATATATATATATATATATATATATATATATATATATATATATATACTGCTTACGTCATCTTTTTTGTTTTTAATTAAGTTACTCTTTAGCATCATTGCATATTTCATGAATCACTTTTTATTGAAATTACCTCTCTTTATATGTATTGATATTATAAAATATATCATATCATATCGATGTTACAATAATAAATATAATATTTATAATACCTTTTTAATATATAAAAATATATATTATAATCATAATAAATATTAACAAAAATTATAACATTCTTTTTAATAGATACATGTAGCATTGGTTTTTATATCAATATGATTTAATTATTTTTATACTTTCTATATCAATTAATAATGACGCTATATAAAATTATGATATGTTTACACACAAACATTGTTATTAGGATTCATCTATTCAATTTCTAATTCAACTCTTCAAAATTCTACATCTTAACTTGTAAATAGAATATTGAAAAAAAAAATAATGAGTATAGTTTTGTCTTTTCACTCGTACAAGTTGAATATTACATGTTAAAAGTGCTTCTAGAATACTCTTTTTGTACACAAAATTTATAAATAAATAAAGACGTTAGTGACAAGGCTTTTGTTAGGTAGATCTTGACAAAAGTTATTAATAATATAAATATTTAAATTATTTAAAAATATTAAGAATGTTTTAATACTTGTAATGTACAAAATATTTTCTTTATTTATTAATTGGTATCTCACTGGTTTGTTACATTTGATCTGTTAATTAATTGGATGTAATTATATATTAAAAAAACCTCATATATATAATATGCTTTTTTTATAATATATTTTTATTATAAAGTATTTGTCAAGAAATTGTTAATACATCGAATAATCATAAACATCTTTTATTCAATTATATGAGAATAAAAAAAATAGTGAGTTATGTATGAGCATTAAACGACAAACAAATTATTAAGAATGATTTATTATTATTGATTAAAAATTAAAAATATTAAAATTATAAAATAAAATTTTTATTAGTTTAGCAAAACTCAACCCATAGGCAGCTTGCAAATTGTTTATGTTTTCATACAATCAATAAGGTTTAAGTGAAAGCTTTTTATTGGGAAATTAGTTTTCGTTTTTCATTATTTGATTTTTCATTTTAATAAATCATCAACCTTCCTCTATTTCCACTCTTTTTTTCTTCACCTTTTCCGCTAACTATTGTATAATAATTGAGAAGGTGCCAAAACAATTTAGAATCTGTCAAAAGAAAAAGTACTTAATATAATCTTATTAAAATATATATATTATTTTTTATTAAACTAAAAAAGATGGAATCGTATCATAAAAGAAAAAAAGTAAACTTAAAATAAACAGAACCACCCTTGGACTTTTTATTTTTTATTTTTAATTCAAATTTTTTAATAATTGCAGTATAATCCTTTCACAAAAGAAGCTTTATTAGGATGTGGAAGTGTGAATAAAATAAGTGGTAGGATTAGAAATGCAAATAAATTTGGGGAGTAAAAAAAAAAATGGAAAGAAGTTGAGAGAGAGAAAAAGTGATGGTACTACCTACCCATTGGAGCACAAACTTAATTGCAACTGCTCATCCTTTCTCACCAACTCAGTCAATGTGTTGTTTTCAGAAAAAATGAAGATCCCCAAGTGAGTCAGTCAATTGCACCCCTACTCCCTGCTCCCACTACCTATCTTTCTTCTTCTCTTCTCTCTTCAAATCTCAAACAACAAATGGGTCGAACACCCTGCTGTGAAAAACAACACATTTTTAAAGGAACATGGTCTAAGGAGGAAGATGAGCTCCTCACTAGTTATGTCAACTCTCATGGAGAAGGCAACTGGAGATGTGTTCCTAAGGCAGCTGGTATTTTTTTATAACAATTAAAGTTTTTATAACTTTTTTTTTATTCATCTTTGATCAAAAGATGTCTGGATTTATAGTAAAATTTGATATAAAACTTCACTTTTGATGATAGAAAAATCTGAGTTTTGTCTTGAATTCTCATTCTGAAAAACTCTATGCACAAATTTATGCATGTATGTATAGTTCTAATTAATGGATTGATTATTTGCTCAGGTTTGCTTCGGTGTGGCAAAAGTTGCCGACTCAGATGGATGAATTACCTAAGACCCAACCTCAAGAGGGGGTACTTTACTCAAGCAGAAACTGATGTCATCATTCAGCAGCATACCTTACTAGGAAACAAGTATGAACACAAACCACGTAATTCTATGTATTTTCATTGAAGTACCGCATTCAAACCATATGGTAGTAACACTGACTGTCCACTAATTGTTTAATTTTATCAATTCTACAAGAAAGTTGACAAGAAAAAAAACATTTGCATGCATGATAAGACTTGTAAGAGTGTAGATTTTGAAAGCTTTTGGTGGTTGTATGAACTGTGTTCATTATACTCGAGTTATCTAATTTTAATTGAAGAAACAGTGTCATTTAGATTAAAACACTCACCATTAAATGACTTCATATGTATGTGGTTCTTCTGCTTAAGTTTTTGAAAGAGATCATGATTCTGAAATGGATTGATGATGTTTTTTGTTTTGTGCATTTTATTTTGGTTTCTCAGATGGTCAGAGATGGCGAAAATTTTACCTGGAAGAACAGATAACGAGATTAAAAACTACTGGAACACCCACCTCAAACGCCATCTCTATGCCAATGGAATCGACCCTGTAACCCATAAACCACTCAAAAAGTACACCACCGACACCACAGATCTACCTGCTAACTGTCAAGTGTCTGAGGTTGCCACCGCAAGCGAGAATGGAGCTAACAACAGCAACAACACTAGTTCCAGCTTCACCATAGATTGCAGCAACAAAATCCACTATTTTAATGTTTTTCTCAATTCAAAGGTGCAGATTAGCAGTGACGATTGCTCAGCTGGATATAAAGGTGGTTGCTCAAACAACAGTAGTGATGTTACCGTACAGGAAGCTCATCCTCCACTCAACTTGGACCTTTCCTTATCTCCTCCACCAAGTAAACCCCAAGATTTTTGCATGAACCTCGAAGGGACGCAACCACAAGGGCAAGTTTTGTCCTTGGGGAATGTGAATGTTAGCGGTGCTAAGCGAAGCGTGTGCCTGTGGTGCAATCTAGGGTTGCAAAGTAACAATGCTTGTAGCTGCAAAGGCAAGGGTTGTTGTGCTGCTTCTGCAGTTACTCCACCTGCTGGTAACAATGATGATTGATGAGTATCCATCTCATGGGCCAAAAACATGAACATTTGGGGTTTACAACTGAGGCTCAGTAGTAGAATTCCAGAACTTATATATATATATATATATATATATATATATATATATATATATATATATATATATTTCCTGAGTTTGATTTCAGTGAATTAGTAGTTGAAAAACTTAAAATTTTATTTTAAATGTCAATGTAATTGCAAGTGCTTAGATTTTGGTGAAAAAATTAGGTGTTTGGTTTTGATACACTGATTGTATATGCAAGGGTTTCTGCTTCCCTGACGCAACAATTTCTTTTTGTTCATTAAGAGTTGTTGAAAGTCCCACTCTCCTGAGTCATTTATTTCATTGAACGGTTTAAATAGACTATTCTACATGGTATTAATTGATTTTATGTTGCAACCTTCTTAACATAAAATCTGAACAAAAGCTTAATTTATTGTGATGACCAAAAATTGCCCTTTAATTGGGTCAAAAATATTATGTGGAGGTCAAAAATACTATGTGGAGGGAATGTATCAAAAGTCTCACATAGTCTGCCTCGTGTCATTTAGTATGATTTAAATACATGGTAGACTACTTCACGTCTTATGAATTTAATGTTATGTTAGAACCTTACCAAGGTTTAAATGGTCATTTTCAAATATATTATTTTTATTTGATATATGCTCAACAGATAACATGTTGCTAGTAAAGAAAGATCTGTAATGAATTTCTCATACATTTACTCTTTCTTCTTTCTTGTGAGTTCATGATTTATGTTTTCTTCTTTTGTTGGCTTAATTTTCTTCACACAATTGAAAACTAAAACTACGCCTATTAGCCATTTTCTTTACAGCAAAGAATTTCATAGATAAAAGACACTCCAAAATCCTTATACAAAATGTCATTTTCTATAAACAAACTTGTACTTCTTACATTACATTAAAATTGTTATCTATACTCTTTACTCATATGAAAATCCACTAAAAAAATAGAAAAAAATAAATAAATCTTTGACCTTACCATATAAACTACTATCATGAGCAGCATTTTATCATGTAAAACACATATTCACTCTACCATAACTCATTTCTAAAAATATAATGTTCCTAGTCAAAGACACCAAAATAACAAAAACATGTTTTACTCTAAAATTTAACATGATCTATTATCCTTTTAATACATTACCAAAATAAAATAAATTCTGTTTACTGACGTTTTCTAATTAAAAACAGACTTTTATATCCATAATCTTCAATGATATTTAGCAAAGAAATTGCATAATAACTGAGACAATACTGTAATTCTAATTTTGAAGCAACATTAAAGATACTAGTGAAACTGCATTCATATTATCTTTAGAATTGTTATTTACACCTAGGATAGAGTGTTGGGATAGAATGATGAATGATTATCCGTTTTCCATGGAAGAAGAAGAAGTACGCATGGTAGCTACTTCAAGTGATGCGATTGGGTGTCTGCAAATCCAAAATATTTATCAGAACAGAACTGAACTGAAACAACATGGGTTGTGGTGTGTGTGATCATTGAAGACAACCGGGGAGAGCATGTGGGGCCAGACCAGACAGAGAAGAAGAGGGTGTTTGTTTCATCGTAGATCACGACTATTTGTTGCATTGCACTTACATGCAAAACTGTTTCATCGCTTCCAACCTGCAGAAGCGTTCAAGCGAACACATTTTAAGGGAAGGACTGATTCATAAACTTGATGCAAATTACCTATTTAAAAGTGGTCATTATGAAAATATCATTGAGTTGAAGCCCTTCTGATCACATTGACGTGAAAATGTCTTCTTAACTCGGTGACTTATGGATTTATGTGCTATTTTGTTCACCGTCACACACCGCGTGAAACTTTTTTTTTAATAAATGAGCATAAATTAAATACAAACAAAAGAAATTAATGAATCAAACAAAAATAAAATAAAGAAGAGACTTAGCTAACTTTTCATAGATAGAATGGTAAGTTCAAGATATAAGATATATGATATGAGGATGGTTTTTAAACAAAATGGACAATTTCGCTTATTTATTCATTAATTAGTATCAACGTCTTATTATAAAAAATTGACAACTACAAATATTTTTTTTATTTTACATTTTATTTTATTTTATTTTTTACTAATTTTTAAATATTTGTTCACCTAATGTTAATAAATGTTTATCAATTAATATTGATTACAAATATTTTTGTTTATGTCTGCTTTGGTAAGGACTAATAAGGAGGGAAAAGGGTCTAGGAGTATAGAGAAGTTTCACCTTATACATAGAAAGACTTATTTATTTAGTTGTTTTTAAGTTTTTTTTTAAAACAAAATTATCCATTAATTTTACTGTAATTTATTTTTCAATCCTTTTATTTCAGTGAAAATATTTTTAAATTAAAATTATTAAATGAGATTTTAAAAAAATAATTTTAAAATTGAATTATTGAAATTATTTTTAAAAACTAAAGAATAATTAATTTCATTTTGATCTCACATGTTTGGAACCATCTTTGTAGTTTAGCCTATGTGTATGTGTCATAATCAACTGTTCTTAAGTTTAGAACATTTGTTTTATTTGCACCTCATTTTTTTTAACATGTTATCTCATAATATATTAATAGGCGGCTATTAATTATTAATATATTAAGCAAATAAATTTATTAAAGTCCAACTCAAGAGTCATATGTATTAATATGACTTAATTTCGAACTCTTGATATACATTCAGATTTAAATACTCAAATAATAGTTTTTATTTTGAATCATAACCTCCTACTATTTGAACAAAGTTATCTACCTTTAAAACCTATAAAATTCGTCTAAATTTTTGTTCAATATAAATTTCATTTATCAAAATTAAAAAAAAAAAATCTACTGTAAGAGTGATTACTCAACGAATAAAAGTTATTCTGAAGATAATAAATTTGATCATTCCTATTAATGAGAAAGTTTGATATTTTGATGGTACTTCGTTACCATTACTTATAGGCATCCATAACCTGATGGTAGAATGACCTAATTCTACTATTTTCTGTTCCCTTTCAATCATAACTGTTTCATGTAAACTAGTTAATCTTTAACCAAACATTCTTTATTGAAGGTATCGTTATCTTTTGGTGAGCCAAGTTTTCTGCAGAATTTTGGCTAAACCAACTTGTATAAGACTACTTATTAGATAATCAACTTTTATAATTTTGAACTGCTTTGGATCCAGGAATTCGTTTCTGTACTACCAATAAGAGGAAAAGTGTCATTGACACAGCACTTGTGAAAATGAGAAGACTAAGAACACAGTTCGAACTTGAAAGAAAAATGTTGAGATTAGTCACACGTTTGAGCCTCTGGTTGGACGGCACACATGATTCCTTTTGCGAGCATGCTCTTCACTACGGTGCTGTGTCCGACATGCATATCCATACCAACAATCTTCTCTTGCTGATGCGTCCAGTGGAAGATGCTTTTGGTAATATACACAAAAACAGTAACACTTGGTCAACTTTGCAGACCAAGTTCGTAGTAAAGAACAATAAAACGTCACAAAAAATAGTTTATAGTATAGCTAGAATATGCTGATTAGCATAATGCTTTGAGAAAGGTACTTACATATTTGGGTATAGAGACGCGAAACCAGTACAGGAGAAAGGACACCAACTTGTGATGACAATCACTGCATGATTACAATAATGAATTATGAATATGGAAAGGATGAGTTAATTGCACATTATAATATAGTTGGTTTTTATTTTCCACTATAGTATCAAACCAGATCAAGGTGTTAATATCTTCAAATAGAAGTTTAGTAGGCAAAGAAGAACAGTATAATCTGTAAAGCTTAGTTCATATGAACTTGTGTGTTTTCTGGATATGCACCAACTTTTGAACATTGCCATCATCAAAGGTTATCTTTTTTTATAGTCCAATGGTTATCTTTTAAAATAGAACGTTGGAACCAACTAAAGAAGTTGATTGGTCATTATAATTAGAAGGTTGGTATTGGAAATGGGTGGTAGAGTGCAAAAACAAAAGCATGATAAAGCTGAACAAACAAACACAAGAGATTACAACAAAATAAATAACCAAACGTATTGTAAATGCCAAATAAAAAGTAAAATATAAGGCATGTACTTGGATAATTCCACTTTCAGGACAAAGGACAAAGCTTACCGGCATACAAAAGTCCGAGCAGTAATCATCTCAGCATGATTTAGCATCATTCGAGATCTATCTACCAAGAGAAAAAGGAGACCAAAGTGTAAAAGATGGGTTAACATCATCAGTGTGCATCAGATCAATTTACAACAACGAAGAAATTTTTTAAGAATATTTTGCAAAATTTCCCACTAGATTAAATTTTGCATTGTGTATGCATGTTAATGTAAAACTACACCTTAGGGTGTATTTGGTTTGTTTTTTCATTTTCAGTATGGTCTGTGGTTACTGATTACTTAGTTGCTGACTCAACAGCAGTGATGAGTCATAATATTTTTCAGCTATTATATAGCTGGTTCCTTTGTACAGTCAAATTACTGAAAGTTCATAGTTTGGTTTTCTCTCTATCTGCTTCTTTGGATTCTATTATGGTATCATGAGGTTGTAATCGATCCAAGCCATGGCTTCTCCTCGCAATTTTGTTTTTCTTTTGCTCGTGGCAGGTTTAAGAAGAAATCCATAAATTCTCTCGCTCTCAGATTAATGCACGATCTCATCAACTTGAAGGTCTCCCCTGGGAAATATAGTCCTATTGCAGCAATTACTCATCATTGCACTGAACCTTACGACATTTTGTCAGTACAAGTAAAATATATCAACTGAAAATGATTCTGAAACAAGGCAACATGGGCCATTTAAAGAAGAATGCTTCTTATTAACCATTACATGGAAGGGAAATTTATCACTTACCAATTTCTCTGTTGTCCAGCTTTGCTATCCACTCGGATATCACATCCGGCAATGTTCTTCCCATTTGTCTAATGCAACTTTCAGTTATCTAAAACACCACAAACAAAAATATCATAGTAACCAATGTGTGCTAAAACGGACCAAAAACAAATAAAAATATAGGGATCAGAATACACATACATTCTGTTCATGGAGATTCTTTTCATGTGCTACCAACGGAATTCTCGAAATAGGGTGTTCTGAGATCTGAAAGAAAAGGGCAAAGATCGTGGCTGAAGTGACCTTCATACGATATCCAAAGCATGTAATTTACAAGGCAGAAAAGAACCAAGAAAGGAAACATTGTGCTGCACAGTTAACTGGATAATGGAAATTGATAAAAGTATCCAGCATGTAAAGGCACAACAATAATTACACAAACATAAAATCTTTCTAGAAAGAAACATTCGTCAAATTAAAAATTGTGATGGACAATAATCCTTACAGGTCTAAGTGTATCCTGGGAGCAAACAGGGTACGTGCCACTCCCAGTTACTCCTAGAGCATCCCAGTAAGCTCCACAGAATGGTCTATCACAACCCGAACCTATGATAAAAGAAAAACATGAATTATCTAACATTATCAATGAATGTGCATATTAAACCCCACCATAAATAAAACCAAAATAAATAAAATACTCTCATTCAACAGTATAAATTTGAATAACCAACAAGTTCCATAATGCTACAAGCTAGTACAAAATATCTTGACCCAATTCAAAAGCTATTCATAAAAAAACAAAATCATAAATTTGACAATGGCATTTACTAAATCAAAGATGATAACTTACAATACTGAGGAATGCCAAAACCAGTGCGGGAAGGCATCATTCCTCCACATGCTTGACATTGGAGATGAACAGTGTCATGATTGCAACTAAACCCACCAACTTCAGTAACTAAAAATTGTTAGTAAAGAACTCAATAAGTATGATGAGACAAAGAAACAAAGAAGAAAGTCACAATTTTTTTTTCTCTCTTTAATTTTATGACTTGTGACGCATATTGCCATGAAATTCAGAGTATAAGCAGTAGCCAATGCGGACATAACGAGTACCCAAATAAAATAACCTCAAATCCATCTCATGTCTAGGAGGACAAGGCACAAAGGGAGAAAAAGTAACCAAATCTAATTAGCATATCAGCTCAATAATCTATTTCAAAGAGACAACAAAAATCTCTTTCATGCAGGTCAGCACAGTCTACAAACATGATGATGATCATGTGGACAGCATAACGGATAGTTGAACACCATGAATAATTAGCCTCATAAACTAGGGAGAATGTAGGGGGAAATGTTTCTACATAGATTGAATTGTACAAGTGACATTATTCCAGATCTAATGCTGTATTGTTATTACCACACTGTGGGCACTGATGGTCTGTGCCATCACTTTGATCATCCAGTGAAGTGTAGGCCCTCTTTCGATTCTTCTTTCCAGATCCAATGACCTAATAGTAAAAGCACAAGAAAAAAGTAGAGAATATAAGCACACAGTATCTAAAAGCAGAACTGTGATGCATGATCATAAAATCCCAAAAATAAAGGTATCAACAGCTGTTCTAAGGTTTGATAGAAATGTACTTAATCATAATTTAACTGACTTTCAATAAAATTGCATGACAAAGTAAGGTTAGACAAGAATGGCATAACACTGCACAGGGAAGTAAATTTTGACAGCTAAAAGAATTATCTTACTCACAAGGTTTGATCGTACTAATGCATAGGTATCTAAAAGTGCAACTTCGTCATGAGAACGTCTTAGTGAAGAATCAGCCCTTAGCATATCCTAAAAAAATATATGTATGTTAGGAAAATTTGAAAGTACTGTGTGAGAAACAGCAAAGATTTATTACACAAAGTGCATCAAATAAGGTAAAAAGAGAAGATAATTAACAGATCAAACAAACTAAAGGTACAACAACAAATTGAAAAAGAAATACCCTAACCATGAACTAGAAGTTATCGAAAACTATGGGCAAAATATGTCAACTTCCATGAATGCAGTCAAATATTAACTATCACACCCTGATGCTATCCCAGGTGCCAGTAATAAATGATGTCAACACTCCTACAAGTAAATTAGTTTGAGTTTTTTCAAGAATTTGCCATACATATGTAAAAATATTCAAAATGTGTGTAAAGTAGTCCATATCTACAATTAAGACAATCCAATGATGAAGCTTAAGCTTTAAGCGGTCAAAATATCTCAAATCAGAACTGAGAAACATTTTACTCAAAACAAGTGCTCCTTCCTCCATCTTGGGCCCACAGGTTAACAGCTAGGAAGTTATTGGACATCCAAAGCTCTAGAGTTTTTAATGTTCCAAGGGAAAAGAAATAAATGATAAAGACAAGTCAACAAATGGAGCTTTTAGAGATCAAAATATCTCAATATCAAACCCGATTAACCAAATTTAATCAGAACAAGTGGCTCCCTTTCATGGTAATGGATGTAACACACAATAATTAAGAGCTGAAAGGCTATTGAACCCGCAAAGCTCTGGACTTGTAATTAAATAAAATCTGAAGATCAGGGCAGAGAAAAAATTAAACATGTTCCATTGCCCCCTACCCCCTATAAAAAAATTGCCTGGTTAGTATTTTGTAAAGCTGTTAACAAATACAAGCATGAGAGCTTTAGAAAACTATAATTTGGACATGTCGCCCTTTCCTAAAAATTATGCACCAGAATATGGCTTGAACTTTGGTTTATGCATTAAACTATCCCCTAATATATGCCCAAAATCATCCTTTCCTCCTCTTTTGCAGTACCATAAGCAGACTCTCCAAATCAATAATAAACACAGTTGACCATCTCTCCTCTATACACAAAACAATTTGGAATTAAAATTACCTCAGCAATGACACGCAAAAAGTGATTTTTTCCAACAAAGAGAACAACTGCTCTGCATTGAGGACAAAGTACAGCTGATCGTCTTTCCTTTGATCTTCTTAACCACTCTGAGAAGCAACCATTGCTGTAGTGCCATGCAGCAACTCAAGCAAAAGTCAAAGAACTGAAACAGAACTGCAATACTAAGAAAAGGATTGAGAAATGCTACCCATACCAAAAATTGTGGAGGCATGGAGCAACAGTAACAACATCATGCCATATGTTTAAGCAAATGCTACATTTTGCATGATCAGCATCTACACATATCTGGAAAAGAAACACAGCTAAGTCATCAATATTGCTGGGATAAAACATTATTAAAGAAGAAATTAAAGAGGTAGAGCATATTAGACAGTGAACCTTTAGCTGCCTCTGGGAGATATCTGGCCTAGACATTATATGAAATTTGTAGCTGACAAATCCTAGAGCCATCAAGTGCACAACATAGCATTAAAGCAATTAATAACCAGCTTAGCAATAAATGGTATCAAAAACCAAATAATTAGTCGACAGATTTTGTTTTGTCCATCACACTACATTAAAGATCTTTACTAATTATTCAAAAGACCCAAAAATCATATTAACCAACAACAATTTTAAATTATAATAATTTTATTGAGACAAGTAATTCCCACTTGCTAGGGTCATAATTTGGGTAAAATTGACACAAATTACTGTGCTATAGTTTATGGTCATGTTACTTGTCAGAAGTCCTACATCGCCTGCTTCATGTCATGTGGTACGGTTTAAATATCTGTTAGGTCACTCCACATATTATCAATTGGTTTTATGATAGACCTTTAACATGGTATCAGAGTTAAAACCTAATTTCTTTCTGGGGTTGTTGTCTTGGGCCAAAAGTTTCCCTTTCGTTGTAGGTCAAAAGTATCATTTGCTTGGTCCGGTAGGCTTCGTTGGAGGGGACGTATTGGAAGCCCCTCATCGCTTGCCTTATGTCATGTGAAATGGTTTAAATATCTTTTAGGCTACTCTATATATTGCTAATTAGTTTTATGCTTGGTCCGGTAGGCTTCGTTAGAGGGGACGTATTAGAAGTCCCACATCGCCTGCTTTATGTCATGTGATATGGTTTAAATACCTTTTAGGTTATTCTATATATTGCCAATTGGTTTTATGTTGGAACCTTCACGTTACTAAATAATTAAAATTAACACTTTTGCCTAACCAAGTTTGAATCGCATCAAAAAACATTATGCTCAATTCAAGATAACTTGGAATACAACTTTGCTTGAAATAACTCAATGGATTGACAGCAGCGCAATGGCAATGCTACTTTATGGAACTATACCGGACATATAACACCATTTTACAATCTGCATACCATAAATGTTGTTAATAATAGAAATTGTTACACTGCCATAAATATTAAAAGAATCAGACCTTCTCTATCAGGACCTGGGATAATTTGACTTCCATCCTTAATGACAATGGTGTCATCACTTTGTACTTTGGCCCCATCAACAAGAATTGTATTTTTACTACAGCATTAATGCAAGGTACACCAAAACCAAAAGAATTAAAATAAAAGGAGTAAAATTCGTAAAAGTAAGAAGATAAGGCCCTTGTTGATGAGATATATAAACATTTAATACTTCAACCCAGGATGGGGGTGTAAAAACATTAAAGTATAATTATAAGTAAATTGGTATTCATTTACCATCATGAAGCTAAACCTAGTAAAGCATGGAACTGATTTTAGTAATACAATTGTTTCTCTTATTTTAACAATATGATTGTTCCTGCTAACAATAGTCATAAAATTTATCTACTCCAATTGAAATTTTGAATGATGATTTTCCAATAATAGATAAAAAACAATGTGGTGAGAAGACCACAACGATAATTTTTGTTTTGTTTTAAAGTAATGGTCTTTTGTTCTTTATTGGAATTCAAATGTGAGTTGAAGTTCTAAATTATGGAGAAATGTGCAACAAATGAGTGAGTAAAACCTATAAACCTATTGTTTTAAAGTTTTGGGTTAAATATAATATCATGTTCTCTTATATAGTTGTCTCATGACTTATTAGTAAATATCTTTTAGTGTTAATTCCCCTTGGATTTTCCAACATTCATCTCAAAATAAGAAATGACAAATATATATCTTGGATAGTAGGGAACATAGTTTACTCAATTGCTTAAAAGTTATTAACTAGTCAAGACTTCACCTCATGTTTTCCATTGTGGCCGAACACAGGTCAGGATTCCTTACTATTTTGCACCAGCTATGTTTGTCACTAGAAGCAGCAGATATCTCTGAAGATATTACTTTTTCATCTGATCTTATCTCCACATCTGAATATCTCTGGTCTGACGGAACTGCAAAAAGGAAATAGTTTGGCCAAAATAAGAACCTTAAGGATGTTTCAAACTGTACGCTAAATTTATCCCTTCAATTGTTTATATCTAGGAGTTAATTCGGCATCCCTTAACATGTGAGATGAAAAACTCAGATGTGCTTTCCATACAAATTTTCAAAGAATGTTCATACAGATACATGTATTTTTAAGTGTGATTTATTTTTATGGAGCACCAAACTTACACTAACAGTTGAAACAACAATCTTGTAAAAAGCATTCAAACGACATTCTCAACAAAGCCCTGATATGTATAAACCCAGTTAAACAGTAATCTGTACCACTAGCCTCTCCATTCATTGCCACCCCTTTCAACACAACAGACACACAAGTCCAGCTCCTTTTTTATCCGAACCTACAAAGTTCTTGTCATTGTGAAGACAGCAGCACCTTTTAAATTAGGGTTAAAATTATCATGCATCCACTTTCTCTATTTTTCATTTCCCCCTCATGTTTTCTTTTTCTCATTATTTCCGATCACATCATTCAACACATCTATCTATCAATTTTTCTCTTCTCCTTTATCTTTTTCCCTGTCTATCTCTCTCTTCTTTCTACCATACACCACACTAATGGGATGCACGATTTAACATCTTCCTTTAAATTAATCAAAAACATCAAATGGCATTCACCACCAATTGTTACGGCCCATCTACCAGTAATCAATCCGAGGAACTATGCAGTAACCTAACTTGAAATGGTGTATTTTACATTTCACAAAATGTGAACTTGGCCATTAAACTAATAAAAAATATAGCATTTCCATACCCAGCTACTAATTCCTCTTAAAATTCAAATAAATAAAGTGTTTTCCATATGGGGTGGAGAGGGTAGAAATGGAAGCATGCAAAGCACAAAGTTTGAAACTTTGTTTGATACTTGTAAGATGTGAATGATTATTACCAAGATTGGCCCAAATTTCATCGGACAGGTTGGCTGAAGCTGAAGTTGAAGCAGAGCACTCTCCTGTCTCCTCCATTGATTAGAAAGAAGGATATTTCTGCGAGTGGAGTGGAGAGGTTAATTGAAGGGTTTATAAATTATCTGTAGTTTGCCAAAACTTGCATGCCACTGATCAGAGTCTGCCAAATGAGTTTGCTTATGTTATGCACAGTAGTTTTTATAATAACAAATTATTATTTAAATAGGCTAAATAACTTTTTTATTTTCAGAATATTTACTAACTTTATATATGATTTTTTATTTAAATTTTGTCTTTTATTGTTTATTTTATCAGGCGATGATTTATTGGTTAGGGTGAAATATTAACTAAGAATGACCATATTTTTTTTATTTCAACAAAATTTTACACGTATAAATATGTCTTCAATGAGTTTTTTATCCTAAAATTTTTTATTTATGATTTTAAGTAATAAATTATTTCACTTTAATTAGGATTTACCTACTTGTTTATTTTTCTTTATTATCCAATAGTAAAAATAAAAGAAAATACATATTTGATAAATATAATAATTTGTTTTTTTTTTATGTTTAATAATTTTTTAATATTAATTTATTTAATAACTATTTTATTATAACAATTTTTAAAATAGGACCAATTCAATCACTCCAACCATTGAAATTATTAGAGGAAGTGATAAATTTTCTCAAATCATTAATCATAAAAAAAATTAATAATATTGTAAGACTTGTATATTTGATATATATATATATATATATATATATATATATATATATATATTATTTTTATCAATCTATAAACATTAATGATATGAAAAACAATAATAATATATGGTTAAAATTACTATAAAACTATTTTTTTCAATTTATGAAAATAATAAATGACAATTTGTTAAGAGACTTGAGAACTTGATAATGAAATTTTGTTAGAAAATATGAGTTAAAACATCAAATTGACTAAAAATAAAAATTTGAGTTTCTTATAAAAAATAAATATTTATAATTCAATATCTAAAATTAGTGACGGATCTTCATTATTGATTTTGGAGGTAAAATAATATATTATTAATAAATAATAAATAAATATAAAAAGAAGAGAAGATGAAAGGGTGAAATGATAAAACTGTAGATATATACTTAAATATATTAAATAATTATTAAATTTGAGAGAGACAAAATCATAAATTATATGAGAATTAACTGAAATGATAAAATTATAAATATACAAATATATATATTAAATGTTCATTAAGTTTGAGAGGTCAAAATTATAAATTATATGAGAATTACAAAACTTTTGAGCCACTTCACTACGGAAAATCCGTCACGCCTAAAATTATTCTCTTAATTAATTCATTTTTCATTTGTAAATATTTTTTCATTTAAACTCTTCGAATTCAAAAGGAGAAATGTATTAATATTAAAGAAAATCAATAACATTTTTAAGAATTTAAATATCAGATAAATATAAATAAAAAAATTTAATAACTAATGAATGAGAATCATCCATAAATTAATATATTAATATTTTATATTAAAAATAATATCATATTTTTTATATAATTAACGTGAATATTTTCTTGTAATAATCCCCTTAAAATATTTTATAAATTAGCGTATTAGACCATTTTAACCTATTTGTTACCATTCTCAATATGCAAGCTTCCCTATTACAATACACATAGATATAATTTTTAGGATTATCTAGCTTATCATATATATCCCAAATGAATTTTATTTAAAAGAAAATGACGTGAAACTTTAATTAAGATTTGTGACGTGGTTCAATACTTATTTAACACATAATTATAATAATAAAAGATATAATTATATGCATACATCTTATTCGTTATTCTTAGATAATGATAATTTGACATTTTAAATATTTATCTAAACACTAAATCCTTTTACATTTAAGCAATTTGTAACTTAATTATGAGGTAGACCAGTTCATGGTAGAAACTTCTATCAACAATTTCAATAGGACTTGGAGAAACATATCTGGAAGAGTTTTCAAATTTTGTTTCTCACCATAGTTCTTAAGTTGTGTTGTTTTATAATTTACAAATTAATGTCATAAAAATTAAAATATACACCTTTTTTGTTTTAAATTTTTTATTTTTAATTGGATTGTAGATAGATTCTTCAAAAAAGGGTTAGAAAGAGGGACATTAATACTGAAAATAAAATATCTATTATAAATAAAAATAAAGTGTAGAAAACCAAAATAATAATTCAGACATAGTCTATAATTTTGTTATTTTAATTCTTATATCTCATTGACTTCTATATAATATTGTTAATAAACTATATTTTATTGGATAGGTACAATTATAATTTATTGTTTTTTTACATATATTTATATAAATAACTAATGTTTAAAAAATAGTGACTTGACATCATATAAATAACATAATTCATGTTAAAATAACATAACCATTATACTCTTTAATTTTGATTTTTCTTTAAAAACATTTTTTTATATCAGTGTGGAACATAATTGCTTAAAATTTAAATGTAACCGTTAAGCGATTATAATTTTAATAAACTAATAATAAAAATATAAATATAAACATAATAATAATAATTAATTCTTAATTATAAATATAAAAACATTGTTTTGTGTACTACATATTCTTGTATGTGTTGTAACTCTACATGCTCCCTGTTAAAAACTAAAATACTTTTAATTTTTTTAATTTCTGAATTTTAGTAACTATTTTTTTTATATATACTAAGTGTTTGAAAATTCAAATATTATAACTTTTTAAAAGTAATAATAAAAGTGCAACTGTGATCAAAATGATAATTAGTTTTCCAAATATATTAATCCATCATATTATGTTATCATCTTATATCAATTAATGCATGATAAAAGAAATTGTCACAGTAATATTTATTAAATTTAATTTAACAGAAAGGAAAACATGTTTTTCTAACTTATTATATGTTCTTGCTAGTTTATAATAAATATTATAAAAAATAAATATTTATAAAAAAATGTGACAAAATAATAAAAATTACATGATATTATGAACACACAAATATAAATAAATATTAAACTTAACCCATGTTTGAATTTAAAATTATTTTAGATAAAGTAATGATTTCTATAAATAAAAACAAAATGGGAAAAGAAAATAAGGCGTTGAAAAAAAAAAAAAGCTGCAGTTAGTTATTAATTTAAAAAATATTATTATGACGATAAATGTTAATGATTGAGAGTGGTGAGGGTTTTGGCGGTTAGGGTTTGAAAAGGTGAGAAAAGAAAGGTTCGAGACCATGCGTTTCGTAGTTAGCTGCACAGCTTGGCTTCTTCTCACTGTGTCCGCCTCTTGCCCTTTCGGCACTGTAAAACTCTTTCTCCCTTTTTCTCTTCCTTTCGTTCTCATTGTATTCGCACAATTCACCTTTCATTTTTTAGGTTTCATTGTTGATTGCACTCTTAGTTGGAGATTCGGCCACATTCTCTTTGAATATTTATTTTTCTTTTTTCTGTAATTTTCTGTTGGAATTGCGCTTCTGTGTGGTCTATGCGTTCAGTGTTTTCTACCCATGACTATTTGTTTTGTGCAGTTAGTTTTTTTAACCTGTAAAATTAATTGCTGTGGACTGTGGTTGTTGTTTGTTCTGTATTCTGCTGGTCGATTTTATTGCTGAAATCACTGACTGTTTGATTGTCATGTCCTTTTTTACTGCAATGCAAATTTGGACACTCTTTGAGTATTTTTTTTTTTTTTTCTCCAGGTCGTTATGCTAAAGTGTTAATGTCTTATTATGGAAGTGAACGGCATTATGTATATGTTTTAATTTTTATTACTTTTGTCATCATTTTTAAACAAGATCATCTCAAGGAGAAACAAGAAAGAAGATATAGTTCAGATGAAGTCGCTGTTGTCTGAGAGCTTAGTCTCTGAGATGACAATTTACTTTAAATAACTGTTGGGGGAAAATCTTATTAGGAATGAGAATTCTGGAAATTAGTTGCAGTATTGTTGTATTCCAGTTTGGAAGCATTCTGTCCTAACAATGATTAAGCTATTAAAGAACTTATGTAGGACAATGTTGTTAAATAACCGTCGAAGCAAGTTTTCTGGACCCCTCCACTGATTGCCATCTGTTGTTTGCCATTGTATGGCGCTGTCTGCCATATCCTCAATGGCACCTGCCATATTGGCCATGCCACGCGCTGGGGTGGCCACGGTGGAACTCCCCCTTTTCTTTTTGTCTTTAAGAAAATCTTTTAAAGGTTACTTCATGCATAGAACGTAGGAGCCCATAACACTCTCATGCCTTCAAGTTAGTTCTGAACTACATCGATCAAATACCAAGCTGAGCTCACTTCAAGTATTGAGTCTCAAGAAACTCTGTGGATGAGTTTTAACTGAGAGGGACACTTTGAAATCAGAAACGGTGTTTTTTCTTCATTGTTTCTGGATCAAATAGTTTTTTGTAATTTCTTGTTCGAATGGGGGTTTGGTATGGCTTTGCCTAGCTTATGATGCCAATGTGCTTTTGTTCAGTTTAACCATTCTTTACTGTACTGTTTGATATTATTATTGGAAATACTTAACATTTGATCATTGTGGGATTGTTTACCACTTTTCCTTTTTGAATATGTAATGCAAGTGTTGAAGAAGCTGTTTGGACACTCCTTTGAGTCATTCATTCTCTTTCTCTGTCTTTTCATTATGGGTTATGAAGATTACTTATCATGGATGTCCAAAGGCCATTATGGGTATGGTTCACATTTCAGTTAATTTTAATGGCAATCTTATGAGCGATGAAGACATAATTCAGACAAAGTTGATGTAGTTTGATATATTGAGCTCATGTAATTATGGATACGGTTCAGATTTCTGTTAATTTTAGTGGCCATCTTATACAAGTGAAGAGACAATTTAGACAATGTTGTTGTAGTTTGAGAAATTGAGCTCTTGACATTGATTTACTTGACTAATCTAATAGCAAGGCAAAACAATCCATAAAAGCATGCTGATGATGACTACTTGCAGTATTGTTGTGTTCAAACAACTTTTATCCAAGGTGTATGCATTCTGATTGAACTATTGTATAACTTACAGGATCGCTCTATTCAGACCCCAAGCAGTCAATTTGGATACATATTCTGATATTATGTACTTCCATAGATACCAAGCTGAGTTCACTTTGTTGTTGAACTTTAGGAACTCTGTGAATTTCACTTTTTTTCAACTTCATCAAATTCTATCCCTGAATTGAATTGTATTCTCATCCTGCATTTCCCTTTATGATGCTTCATTCTAAATAGTTACCAAATTCTTATTCTATAATATAATATGTGGCTTACTGTGCACTGTTGGTTATAATATTACACATCTAGGTAATGTTATTGCTCCAAGCATTTTGGTTCCACTTTCTGAACTTAAAAATGATAATGCTATCATACAATTATTGGATTCATATTTTCTGGATTATTTGTTTAGAAGATTATTTATTTTAATGTTTTGTAATGCAGGAATGCAGCTGATTGGGTTTTCAGAAGCTGTGAGGGACCAACAGAATATTAAACAGAGTTTAACAGAGAGCTGCAGGGATGGGTCATTTGGGTGTTTCTCATCAAGTCATGTTCATTGGTCAGCATGAAGAACATGGAAGTAAACTTTCTTCCAATATTCCTACGGTGGAGGAATCAGAAGTTAAAGGAAAAATCCTTAAAGATGAACCTATCTTCATGCCAAAATTTAAAAAAAGAAAACGCCTTAGCCTAAATCGACTGAGAGAGATTAAAGCAGATATGTGTGCCAGTACAAGGGAAAGTAGTGGCAGCATGCCTAAATCAAAGAAGAGTGAAAGCAAAGACAGATGGTCAGCTAAGAGGTAAATAATTTAACACATCCTTTCTGTTTTGTTACTCTCTTATAAAATATATTAAGTTGAGACAGTAGTGTAATGTAGGTATACGTTGGCCGAGCAAAGCATGTGGGAGGTCTTAAAAGGTGAAGGTGCAACTTTTGAAAATCCAATTACCCGACCTGCACTAAGAATGTCTGGCCGTAAACACATTGGTGATACTGGACTATTAGACCACTTACTGAAGCACATTGATGGTAGAGTGGCACCTGGAGGCACTGAACGGTTCCGACGATGTTTCAACACCACGGGAACCATGGAGTACTGGTTGGAGAGTGCTAATTTGGAGGACAAGGAAACTGGGATGGAAGACCCTTACTGGATACCACCGTCTATGTTAAGGGCCGGCAGTGTTCCTATGCAGAATACTGTTTCTATTGATGATCTGAAAATGATCAAAATAGAAATGGCCCAGATGAAGAAGTATTGAACGTGGAAACTCAATTTTGATAAATGATTTTTAGTATGCGTGCTATTAAATGTTCAATTTTTACAAATTGTTTTGCATAGCAGGGACATGCAGGAGCTCATTGCCAAAAAGCAAGAAAAAAGGAAAAGGTGTTTGATGGAGGTGAATAATTTAATAATTCAATGTTTTGTTATCTCGAGTAGAACTTTATGAACTTTTATTCGATATCTCGTGACAGGAGAGACAGAAAAATTTTGTTAATTGGAAAGCCATGACTGAGGGCCGTGTAACTGAGATTATAAATTCTGTGAAGGGTGTGCAGGTATCTAAGCAGTTTATTTCCACACTTTTTCCACTCTTAAGAATATAGGCCCTTGTTTAGTAGTGTCGTTTTTGAAAGAAAAAGCGCACTATCTTGAATAAAATATTCGTTTAAGAGACTTCTAAATATGTAGCTTCTGAATGTGATAAACGCTTTTTATTTAAGCTTAAACAAACCAGGCCTTAATGGGATTCATGTTACCTTGAATGTGTTGTCGGCTTTACTGTGTAGATTTACATAATGACAGGGCATGCATGAAGACATGTTGATTTGGAAAACTAAATTTGAGCAACAGCTGATGGAAATAGCCAATAAGTTGAGTGATGTGAAAACATTGAGAGAACACAGCACTTCAAATTATCCTCCTGTAAGCTGGCAGGACTGGCTAGAAAGCACCAACCTAGACAATATTCAGGGAAACGAATTTTCACCATGGTTTGGGAATCCTGAGCTGCATAATGTTCCACAAGAGGTTGTACTTCAAGATCCCAACTCAACCCTACCAATTCAGCTGCAAAGTGAAGAGCTTACTATCACGAAGAGGTAATAAAAGTAAACTTATATTCTTTAAAACCATTCTACGCATCCTTCAAGGGCAAAAAAAAAAAAAAAAAAAAAGAGGAAAAAATGTTGTTTTTCTTATTTCGGTAGTCCCCTAATTGTTTTCCCTTATAATTTCAGCAATTTGCTAGAGTTGGTGCCAAATAAGCTAGATGAAGATCAACCTAACGTGACCCCTGATTCTTCTACGACTGTTAATTCAAAGTCAGACCTTGACCATTCATTGATATTGTGTCAGGTGATGTTTACAGTGTTACTATTTTCTCAAGTTTTTATATTTTGCAGCTTAATATTTATTTTATAATATTATTCTCACAGGAAATGTTCATGGAGTTATTTACATCGAGGGATAAAATGGAGCAGCAGTTATTGGAGATATCAAATACTGTATATGGCATGCTGACAATGAAATAGACTCTACATCAAATCAAAGTATCAAGCCTAATTTAAGGATTCTAATTTTTAACCATTTTCTTTTGTTACTCAGTGTAGGGTTTAGATATTGTACAGCCTTAACAATCTAATGGTGAACTGAAATCCTTTTCCAACCACAAATAGAAGCCTCATCTGAATCTCACCTACAGTAAGCTGCAAATTGTTGATATTTTTTCCTGGCCTTTTATAGTATAGTTAGTTTATTTACGCTTCAAGGTTCTCTAGGTCATCATTTTCGGTAGGACTATTATTTCAATTGACAGTTTTCTAGTTTTGTTCAGTAAGTTATGCTCCTAATGTTAGCTCTTCTGGTAGGCTATTATGTAACATTTTAGCTTGACTGACTCATGAAAACATATACTTAAACCTTATTTGGGGGATAAGTTGCTCCATGTAGAATTTCTGCAGTATAATTCATCAGATCTCGTGGGTTATGTATGATGATATAACCACCTCCTCCTTTACCGTTCTTTCCGTAACAATTCAGCTGTTCTGTAGTAACTTTTTCTTTATTTTGACCCAATGTAGGTGGCAAGTAATCCTTCCCAATTTTGAAGCTGTTTAATTTTTTTATTCTTAAAATTATCAGTGTAAGCTTTTTGATAGTGTTGTTCAATAGCAAATAAACATTGATTTCTAGTATTGGCACAGTAAATTTATGTGCTTATATTATACTAGTGGAAGTCTGTTATGTTCATTAAAATGATTAAAGTTTGACAATTTTTATACACAGTAAGATAATATTTCTGACGTAGAAATCAGTATCAAAAGGAGTGCAGTGATGGAATCCCGTTAACTTTGGTTGAGATCGCATGTTCTTCTCTACCGTCTGTTGAACTATTCACGAATTTTGATTTTAGTACTGTAATGCATTTTTATTCTTGGCTATGTAGTTTAATCATGACATTAATCTTCGTTCAATTGCATGTTCAATAAGAACGTTTTGATGTTTAATTGCGATTGTAATATTTGGTTGGTAAAAAATAGGATAGAGTGGAAGAAAATAATATAAATTATTTGCTGCAGTGGAAGAAAATAGGATAAAAATATTTTTGTAAGTGGTTAGATTTATTAATATAGTTTTTACTTTATTTTCACTATTTATCATTAATCTCTTTATGTTTATTCTTATTTCCTTTTTATTTCTCTAATAATAAACATCTTAATTTTTGTTTTCATACGTGTCCATTTTACTTTTTAAAATTTGTTTCCACTTTATTTGATTCCTTTTTTTATCAAACAAATTCTTAATAAAATTTTAGAAGTCATTAATAGGAAGAAAGCTTTAAATAAGTTGTAAAATGAAAAAGAATAATTCATAATGATGAGATCCACACAACATGAATCAAAAAAGTGAAGCAATGACGGATGGTTCACGTATGGATACCTTAAATTCATAGCGCTCATGTGACAACTTTATATTTTCGTTTTCTCTTTTCCAGTACATATTTTCACTCATCAATTATAGCATTATCATTCCTCTGATTCCGTGTCTTTCTCTCTCATAGCGCAGAGTTGCTTTTGGTATCAACAAATAATTATTCAAAGTAATAAAAAGGGGTAAGCAATGCTCTAAAATCATGGCACAATATGGTGGCAGCTGCAGTCACGTGCGTAGGAAAAATAAATTCCCAGAGGGAGTTTAAGTTACACGACATCTTGTAAAAACAAAAATTCCCATCATGGGATTTTGCATATTTTGCTTTGTAAATAGCAAGTTGTAGAAAATAAGTAAAAAAAAAATATTGTTTATCTGGTCACTTTCTTTGAAACTTTGAGCACGTGAGTGAGAGTGAGCGAACAAATCCAGAAACATTGGCCTTGAGAAAAACCTTTCATTGGATACGTTCCGAGATTTTTGTCCTAACTTGAACATTTGCATTCGTTGATTCAGTCTCACACGTGATCAATTTCGTTCTACAGTTAGTTCCATTTCCTTTTCATCTTCATCTGAATCTTCTAACTGGTCAAAATTTAAGTATTATTCAGATTCAATGCGTGGTGGGTTAGACCAACCTTACAATATTACTTGGTCGAATCAACCCAAACAAATTTCTAAGAACATTCTAACCTAACTCTCTCTCTCTCTCTCATCTCATCTTAGTGGTGTACGGAGAAAGTTTAACCTTTAATCAATTTATTTAAGGTCGAATAATATATATTAGTATGTAAATATAACCATTTGAAGTCGAATTATGTTCGTTCTGAGTTTCCACGTAAGTTATATAATAATTGAACAATCCATTTCTACTTTTTCGTGCGGTAATCTATCAAAAACATGTTTGAAACGTTTTTATCGATGGAGACATGGTAGCTCGTGGTGGTATGGCAGAGTTATGATGACTCTTTCGACAAGTTTAAAATTCTCAACTAAGGTTTGGTTTGTACACGTCATTAATTAATTAAGTTATTGTTAGTAGCAAATCGAGAAAAGCTATCGAAAATGAAGAAAAGGAATGTGACTCGATAAGATTCAATCGATGTCTAGTTAGAAGTACATAGCGTATAGTATCGAAAAGCACAATCGAGAATCGAGTGAATGATAACCAAATGCCTGTTGTCGAATAAAAACTAAGTCACATGAGACTAAGGTTAAAAAGGAATCGTAAGCAATTCGAAGTTCTAAAAAAACATATAATCGAGAGTAAAGGAAACCAATGCGGACATCGAAACCCTGGACAAACCACAAAAGAATAAGTCAAATGCACGTATAGAAAGCAGTATTGGGACCATGGAAGGAGTTGAGGATCGTGAGAACGTGGGCAACTGCAGAAAAGGAAACCGCCATGCACGAAAGAACGTGGTAACAATCTTATTAACTGTTCCTAGAAGGCTTAAAAGAGACCCTATAAATAGAGCAAAGGAGAAGGAAAAGGGGGGCAGAAATTGGCAGAGAACAGAATCAGTAGTGAAAAGTCTACCGGAGAAACGACGAACACCATGAAGTTTCTGGCAATCTGGATTTCCCTGCTCACTGAGTACATTTATCGCTTTCTGTATTTTCCTTGGTAATTTACTTTGATGCAAATTAAATTCAGCAATTTTATATTTCTGTAATTTTCGATTCCTTGTCATTTCAATTCATGCAATTTAAGTTTGTATTTGAATTCTTTGGGTCTTTTACATTAATGCAATTTCAATTTCCAGTCTTTTACTACATTTTCGATTTAATTACTGTTTAATTTCTTGGTCATTTACGTTGCCGCACATTTCGATTTCTGGGGTTATTTACTTTATGCAATTTCGATTTCTTGTCATTCATATTTGTACTGTGTTCGATTTCCTGTCATTTCAAATTTGGGATTTACTTTACGCACTTTACTTTTTCTTGCAATTTAATATTCAAGTTTCTCGATTCTACTTTTACTGCTTTCGATACTTTGAACACAAAACACCAAAAAACAGCATTTTCGATATCTTGTAATTTTCGATTCTCATACCTGTTTTCGATTGAAACTCAAACTGCTAGTCTAAGTAAAAAGAACTTACGTGGGAGGATTTCGATTAAAAGACCAAAATACCCTTAGAACTGAAATCGATTGAAATTCCACCAGAAACAAAATGGCGCGCCAGGTAGGGGGAGTCTTGTGTTGAAAAATACAAAATTGGTTAGTTCGAAAGTGTATGAGATTAAGGAGTGGTAGAGTTGTGAGAATGAGTCAGAGTTCATCGAATAACCAAAACAATAATGAGGGTCTAAATAGTGCGCCTCCGCCAAACACTGGGGGGCAAGGGCACAATGGGAGTATGCCTGCAATATCGACGACTATGTCGATACCTGTGAGTAATGAACAAAATTCAGGCACTTTAGCAAATACCCAAGTAGGATCTAGTACGGCGGTACTAAACAGTACGCAAAATATGGGAAACCTTACAACAACATATGCAGGGCCATATGCGAGTGTAAGACCGCCTGGGTTTTCGCTCAATAATTTGAATGGGACTGGTACTTCATCGGTACATAGAATTCCGAGATATAATTTAGGAATGCCGCAAAATTTTGGAGTCTCTCCAAATTTAGGGGTATCTCAAAACCTAACAATCCCCCAAAATTCAGGGAGTGGACAGAATGTAGGCACACAACAGATACCTCCAAATCTAGATTAGAGGGGAAACTTAGATCATGGGAGATATGCGTTCGATAGGGATTATCATCGATCCAATTTTGATACTATCGAAAATACTGGTACTGGGATATCCAGTAACTCACTAGGGATACTTAGACAACAAATGGATGAGAGCAATTTTGAGATGGTGAATATGTTATCCCAACAATTGACTACAGTCTTGAACCCGTTAGTTCAAAACACTACTGCTAGTTTCGAGATATTAGCAGATCAAATGTCACGTATCGGGGATGCATTGGCAATTCCTCGACAAACAAGGGGAGAAAATCATGTTAACCAAAATGCTAACATGAACCTATTGAGAAGAAATCGAAATAATGATCAACAAATGGGAAATGAGTACCAACATGTGAGGAATGACATTTATGGAAATTTGAACGAAGGATTTCAAAACATACATAATCAAAATAATATGCAAAACAATCACATGTTAGGACAACGAATGAATTTACAAGGGATGGAATTTAGACCACCCAATCAGACATATTTTGTGTCTCCCTTTCCGAATGCGATTCTCGAAACAGAATTGCCTCGAGGATATAAAGTACCTAAATTCACTAAATTTGCTGGAGAAGTTGGTGAATCGACAATTGAGCATGTGGCTCGATATCAGATTGAATGTGGAGATTTAGCGATGAGTGAAGAATTAAAGATGAAATATTTTCCTAGTTCTTTAACTAAGAATGCTTTTACTTGGTTTACTTCGTTACCTCCCAATTCGATATATAATTGGTTGCAATTAGAGAGGAATTTTCATGAACAATTCTTTAGAGGAGAAACTCAAGTAAGTCTCATCGACTTGATGAATATAAAAAGATACAATAATGAAAACATAGATGATTATTTGAATCG